CCTCACCTGCCGTGAATCCATCTTCCCCATAAAATTGTCGGAATGAGCACTTTTTATTGACTGAGCTGGCTGGGATTTATGGACTCTAACCTTCCAGCCGTGGTGTGCTCTGCTATGATCGCTTGGGGGATTGGGCTGGGAACCTGGCTGAGTTATGTACCCACTCCCCAGCACCACGCTGGCCCCACACTTTGGGGGGAATGGGGAAGCTGCTGCTGGCTTCAGGCTGTGCCAGGCCTGAGCTGGAGCCGGGCTGTGAATCCCCTCGGCTGCTGGCACAGTGGGGTTTGGAAAGTAGAGGTGCAGCAAGTGGTGCCCATCAGCACTGATGCTGCGGGGCAGAGGGGAGCAGGGGGCTGTGCCCCTCATGTTGTGGCAGTGGGCAACTGCTGCCTGCGTTTTAAAATGAAGGTTGAAAAATGGGAGAGATAGAAAAGTGCTACAGCCATCATCTTTTAGAGCTGGAGAAAGTGCCCCGCTGTGAGATACTGAACGCACACAACCCGTTTAGGTTATCAAAAAGAAGATTGAGAAGGGACTTGATTAGCATGAGTAAGTACCATCATGGGGAGGGTACCTGGCACCCAGGGCTCTTTAATCCAGTGGAGAGGCAGAACAAGAACTGCCGGCTGGAAAGCAAAGCCAGATAAATTCAAATGAGAAATAAGGCATAAATTTTAGGCTGCGCAGGTGATTAACCACCAGAACTTGCTTCTTGGGGGAGCACTGGCTTTTCCATCTTGGCATCTGGGGCGCCGGCAAGCTGCTCTGGTGTGTGTGCTGCAGTCGGGACATGCTGAGCCCGATGCTCCTGTGTGTTAGGCAGACATCAGTCTTCCTTCCTGGCCTTGCTGTCCTGCTCCTTGTTGTTCCCCAAATGGATTTTGGGTCAACACGTCACTGTGGAAGGAGGGGTGTGCTTGGGGGTGCACATGCTGTCTCACTGGTGCCATTCCCACCACATCCCCAGCGGGACCGCAGAGCACGGCAAGCGAAGGGATGCTGGTAATGGGAAAAGCAAGCACATGGCGTGAGAGCTCTGGTCAATAACTCCTAATATCTCAATACCGTGAATCCATCTGCAGTGCTGGGGCAGGGACCGGGAGCCGGACCACTTCCCGGGGAGCCCTTGCCATGGGTCAGGAGCTGGCGTGGGGCGGGTGGGCGTGGTGTCTCTCCCACCCCTGCAGCTCTCGGGGGGTGAGAAGCACCGGGAGAGCCGACAGTCACCCCGCTTCGACTACTACGGGGCCGAGCCCGCTGCACCGGACCTCAGCGATGCCGAACTGCCCCACGTCATCGAGATCTATGATTTCCCCTCTGATTTCCGCACCGAGGACCTGCTGCGTGTCTTCTGCAGCTATCAGTGAGTCTTCCAGCAATGCCCCGTCCCTGGTGTTGGGGTCCTCTGCCTGGGCTGTGCTCAGACCCCTGCCCACCCCGTGCTGATGCCTTGCTGAGCTTCCCTCTCTCCGGCAGGAAAAAAGGCTTTGATATTAAGTGGGTGGATGATACGCATGCTCTGGGCATCTTCTCCAGCCCCATAACAGGTACTGCTTCTAGTTTGTCTGGGGGTGGGCAGAGGGGAGGCATCCCTGCCTCTCCTGCAGCCAGACCCTGGGCATGGGGCTGGCCCCACACGCAGATGCTGCTGCTCTGTCCCTACAGCATGTGATGCCCTCAGCACCAAACACCTGATGGTGAAGACTCGCCCGCTTTCCCAGGCCACCCGTGCCTCTAAAGCCAAAGCCAGGGCATATGCCGGTGAGTGATGCTGCTCCGTGCCAGCTTGTGCCATGGTGCTAGTGCTGCAGCGTCTTCATCCCAACAACTGGGAAGGCTTGGGGCAGCCAGCGTGGCTGAAGCACTGCGGAGCTGTGCTGGCTGCCCCATCCCTCCCAGGATGCTTCTACTG